AAATACAAAAAAATAAATACAAAATAAATATTTTTTTAAATAAATACAAAAAAAATAAATACAAAATAAATATTTTTTAAAATAAATACAAAAAAATAAATACAAAATAAATATTTTTTTAAATAAATACAAAAAAAATAAATACAAAATAAATATTTTTTAAAATAAATACAAAAAAATAAATACAAAATAAATATTTTTTTAAATAAATACAAAAAAAATAAATACAAAATAAATATTTTTTAAAATAAATACAAAAAAATAAATACAAAATAAATATTTTTTTAAATAAATACAAAAAAAATAAATACAAAATAAATATTTTTTAAAATAAATACAAAAAAATAAATACAAAATAAATATTTTTTTAAAGTATGGGACGCATACCTCTCACTTGAGGTGGGTCTCACGTGTAGACCGCACCCCATGTGAGATATGTGTCTCATTTGGTGTTTGGTGGTTGTGTCCCCCTAATGCAATGAATGCAATGAAATTGCTTATTTCTAATCTTCTTAGCTTGTATCATAGAATATGTAATCCCAATTTTTGTTGAATGGTCATTTACATTTACATGAGTTGAATCAAACAAGAGAAAGGGAATGTAAAACTCTAATGAGTATTTCACTCAAAACCATTCTATCATATAACGTACCAAATATAAACGCAAATTAATTACAACCTCTGTTATTAGAATCGTGCGATTTGCGATTTGAATTGTACGATTCAATATGGTGCACTTTGAAAACAATATGAACAGGTATGGTGAATTGAATATGGCAAAGAATCGAACTTGAATCGATGAATCGGTTGCCGAATCACATGAATCGAAGAATCGTTTGATTCATTTCTTCTCCAATGGTCGTGGGTTGACCCCGTTTTGCAGTCAGACCCGACTTGCAAAACTCGATTTTTGGCTCATTTTTTTCCCCTTTTTTTTTTCCTTCTACTTGATTGGTCCTTTTAGGGCCTTACGACTCAGTTTATGCCTCCACTTTGTCTTTTTCTAAGCCTCTTTACTCTCTAACGACAAAACCTTAGACCTCTACTCTCCGTATATACAGTGCTTGCTTAGCTTTTTGTCTTCTCTTACTTTATTCCTATTTTGCGCACTCAGGGAGGAATTTTCTAGCATTAACATACTTCGTTAAAGGAGTATGGAGGTTTGGCTTTGACTCTTTGACCTGTATATGCTCACTGCTCTTTCACAATTGTTTGGTGAGTTTTCTATTATTTTAGTGTACTCTCAGTGCTGAGTTTGCTTTACAGTGTTTGGAGTTTGGGTTTGTTGCTTTGCTTTGATTTCTTTTTTTATTAAACATGGTTGATAAAAAAAAAGATATATATATATATGTATAAAGTTATATATATTTATAATATATCTTTAATATCTGAAGATATATATTTATTTTTATGCATTAAAAAAAAATGACTGAATCTTTGCGATGCACGATTTGATTCAATTCACAATTCAAAAACAGACGATTTCAATTCACGATTCGATTCATGATTTGACAACTATGTTTGCAACACATTTTAATTGTTTCTCTATATAAACATCAAGAGTATCAAATTCTGAATAAAAGTGTAAAATTTATGAATTTGAGACTGACCCAGTAGCCAATAGGGTATTTGTCAGAATAAATTAAACAGAAAAACATAAATACAATCCACCTACTTGTTTCGACAAGCTTGGATTTTTTGTTCTTGTTCTTTTTCTTTAAGAGTACTTTTGCTAATCCATCACCTGCTAAGCAAAAAAACATAAATACAATTCCCGTCTCTCTTTCTTTGTTTCTCTCTTTTTCGGCTTCTGATTGAGTGATGCGATTGAGAATGTCTAGAGAGAGAGAGTGAGCAGACGAAATAGAGAGAAGACAAGTTTAAGGCCTAGGACGCCATTTTAATTAGGGGTGCAACTTAGGTGGGCTCAACCCGAGCAACCTGAATCCAACCCGAATTTTTTTAGGGCTTAGACAAGATATTTTCAAATTTAGTATTGGCTTAGGCAAAAATTCAGAAGCTTCAATTAAATTTGGGTGGGCTTGAGTAAAGACATCATACAACCCAAGCAACTCGACGAAACCCGAAACTCGAATTATACATATATAGATATATAAAAATATTAAATACACATATAAATTATTAGCCATTACATGATATTAAAGTAATTTAGATTATTAAATCATATTGAATATATATTATATATACAAATAACATAAAATTTTACTTTTTTATTTTTTTATTTTCATTCATAAATTGTAAAGATTACTATAGCGGCATCTCTCTTACATTATATAAATTATTTGTTTTGATGGTATGGATGATTTTCTATTAAAAAAAATATAAATAGAGTTAAATTATAATAATTTAATAATGTAATTGCCAAAAAAAAAAAAAAAACTGAAATTCATTAACAGTTCGGACAATTCGGGGAACTTGAGCAATTCGGGTTTAACTCGAGTCGGGCTTGGACAGGCAATCTCAGGTTACAATTCAGGCCTGAGCTGGCCTGGGCAGGTCTCAGTACAACTTAGGTTGGGCTTGGACAACCTCCCAACCCGATCGAACCCGCCCGAGTTGCATCTCTAATTTTGCTCAGGTTGGTTAGGTTCGGTGTCGATCAATTGATTGATGAGTCCACTACAACCCGTATTAATATATGCGTAGTTCTGGTTTTATTCTTGGCCCGATAGGGCTTAGATATGGGAAACAACTTTAAAATTATTTTTAAACTAAAATTTAGAGGAAATTTCATTTTCCTCCCAAACTATACTCCTGTAATCAATTTCACATCCGAACTTTTGATATTGTCAATTTATCCTCACCTATTTAAATCGTAATCAATTTGCCCCCTACTGTCACATTTAAATGGAAAAAGTTAAAAAAAAATATATTTTGGCCTGAAATTTCAAATTATTGTTTCAAATTCACCTATTCTCTTGTCCTCTCTCACCCAAACCACCCTCTGTCCTCTATCAACCAAACAACAATCACCACACCACCACCACCATCACAAACACAAGTGGATATCAAAATTGTCACCAAACTAATTTTTAGTATTTTAAAAATATATATATATATATATATTTTGAATACAAAATATTTTCAAGAAGCATGTTTTTTTGACTATCTACATTTCATTATAGATTCAAATGCACATTGATAAAAACTGAAATTAATATCCAAAACTAGCAGAATCGTGCAGTATTAGTTGTTCCATTTCAAGGGTTTTACATGCTTGTCATTCCAAAACCAAGTGTTATCCGTGGGGGTCGCCAAACCCATCTCTGTCTCATTCAAGACATTTTGCGACCAAATTCACATGAACATTGATTTGAACTCAAAGGAGGGTCCTCTTTCGATGTTGTTTAGGCAAAATAGGGAAGAGTTAAGAGCCAACCCAATTGTTCTGTCTCACGCTTTGAGTTCTTGTGGGTGTCCAAAGGCTATCGTTTTGGGAATTCAAGTTCATTGCTTGGTAATTAAAACTGGGTTTTTCACTAATGTCTAAATTGGTAGTTCTTTGATTAGTTGTTACTGCAAATGCAACGAGTTAGGCGATGCATATCAAGTGTTCGACAAAAATGTAGTTTCATGGACAACAATGATTACTGGGTTTGCACAATAGTGGAAGATTGATGTGTGTTTGGAACTCTACCATCGAATTAGTTTACGCTAACCAGCCTTTTGAGTGCTTGCACAGGCAATGGGTTTCTTGGACATTGGAAGGATTGCTCATGTATATAAATATATGTATCAATTAAATAGATTTGAAAATTAATTGAATTGAATTAGTTTGTTTGTGTTTATTAAAGCTAAATTAGTGTTCATTATTATGTATGATTATTTGTGAATCGAAGTATATCTTCTTTTTGATGAATTTTCTTAGTTTTTAGGATGGTTGGTGGTGGCGGGAGTGGTACACCGACGTGGCAATGGGGTGGTGGTGATGGTTGTTTGGTTGATAGATGAGAATGGGTGGTTTGGGTGAAAGAGAAGAAGAGAATGGGTAAATTTGGATCCATAATTTGAAATTTGGGATCAAAATGTAATTTTTTTCAACCTTTTTCGATTGAAGGTAGGGGCAAATTGATCACGATTTAAATATGTGAGGGGGTGAATTTACAATATCAAAAATTCAAGTGCGATTGATCAGAGGGGTATAGTTTTTTTTTGGGGGGGTAATGAAATTTCCTCTAAATTCTATTTAAAAAAATAATTTTAAAGCTGTTTCCCATATCTAAGCCTTGCTAGGCCAAGAATGAAACCCAAACTACCCATATATTAATATAGGTTGTAGTGGACTCATCAATCAATTGTTTGACACCGAACCCAACCAACCCGATTAAAATGGCGCCCTAGGGCTTAAACTTGTCTTCTCTCTGTTTTGTCTACTCGCTGTTTTTCTCTCTCTAGACATTCTCAATCATATCACTCAATCAGAAGCAGAGAGAGAGAGAAACAAAGAAAGAGAGATGGGAACAAAGGACTCGCAGAAAGCTTGAAGATAACAGCTGGTGATGGATTAGCAAAAGCACCACTCTTAAAGAAAAAGAAGAACAAGAACAAGAACAAGAACAAAAAAATCCAACCTTGCTGAAACAGGTAGGTGGATTGTATTTTTGTTTTTCTGTTTAATTTATTCTGATAAATACCCTATTGGCTAAGGGGGTTTGTCTCAAATTCGTAAATTTTACATTTTTTTTATTCAGAATTTGATTCTCTTTATGTTTATATGGAGGAATAATTAATATGTGTTGCAATTAATTTGCGTTTATATTTGGTAAGCTATATGATAGAATGGGTTAGAGTGGAATACCCATTATAGTTTTACATTCCCTTTCTCTGATTTGATTCAGCTCATGTAAATGTAAATGACCATTCAACAAAAATTGGGATTACATATTCTATGATACAAGCTAAGAAAATTAGAAATAAGCAATTTCATTCCATTAGGGGGATGACACTCATAGATTAATGGTGTCTTTTTGTTTCTCCAGAGCCAAAGTTGTGTCAAGTAATGGAAGTAAAGAAAAGAAATAAATCGCCAGGGCATAAGAGAAGAGAGAGGGAAAAGGGATGCAAAATTGAAGCCACTAAAGTTGATCCGTACAATATTGAAGGTGAAGGTATCTTTGATTTATTAATTTTGTGTTTAATGGGGCTACTTATCTTCTTATGTTGCTCAAATAATGTTTATGGGTTTCAGCAGACAAGTCAGATGAAGCAAAGAGAGAAAAGAAAAAAAGAAAATTGTTGAGGAAGAAAAAAAAGAATGACGTGACAAATAAAGCTGAAATTAGCGAAGTTGATGACCTATATAATGAAGTGGAAGGTGGCTTTGATGAACAGAATGGTGCACATGCAGATAGAGAAAACAAAGAGAGAAAATTGAGGAAAAAGAGGAGAAAAAGTGAGAACACAATGAAATCTGGGGTTGACAAAGTCGATGAACTCAGTAAGGAAGCTGAAGATGGATCTAAAGAAGATAAAGGTATGAAGTACTAAGGAACTATATGATCATTTGAAAATGAAGTTTTTCACAAAAAGGGATCTTTCCAAGCTCCTTGTTGAATACCTCATTCCTTTCACTTATTTATTTTGTTTCTCTTTTTTGAACTTCTATCATAGTGTTTTCTCTTTTGCCTTTTGCTCTAATCTGCCTGTGACTGTTATCTGTTAGAGCGCAGTATAAGAATGTCAGCATAAGTACTTAACATGTTGGCTGTAAGATGGTATCTTTGAAGTAGAGATTCCTTTGTTTATTTCGTTTCCATTTTCTATAATGATAATGCTTTTTCTGGTTGGACTACAGCATTTGAGAAAATTCTACCGATTGTGACTTCTGTCAATTCATCCTCTTGTTGGCGAACTTATCAAAAATAAGAAAACATAACAATTCATCCACTGGTTGAATTAAAATTATGGTCCATTCTCTTTTCTTTGTTTGCAGTCTGTTGGACTATGCATATAATCTAGATCAATGATTGAGGTTCTGAGCACCTTGCATGGTGAACACAAAAGTAGAAGAGTTAGGTTGGTGTGAAGTGCCTTGCCACTCCTTGTGGTGGTGCATCTGAAAAGGAGCACAATGAGGTAAAATTTTGATGGGGTGGAAGTGTCAATTACCCCGCAGGCAGTGCATGTGTCTGTCATGTGACCATTTTCCGCTACCTTTTCTAATGGAACCAGATGGAGGGTTAACATTGTGACAAAAATGATTGACAAAGTGCTTGAAAGATTGTTGTGTGGGATTCTTACATAACTACATGATATAACTTTCTGTTAATTTGATTTTTGCTCTGATTAGAAGGATTTTATTTTTCAAACTCTAGAACTCGACAGTAAAATTGATAAATTTCCAAATATTCAATGTTATGTTGTGATTGTAATATTTGTGGTATTATTACAATTGTAATATTTGACTTTCTTCCTGTAGGCAAGTCAAAAAAGTCTCGTAAGACTAAGAAGAATGACTGCCCGTCATCAAACAAAGATGAGAAATTACTGGAGAAGAGAGCAGAATCTGAACAAAATGAAGTCTATGAGATATCTTCAGGAGATGAGGACTGCTCTAGAGGAATGAAAAGTATGAATTACTATTATTCAAATGCACTTGTTTTTTCACCTGTGAAACTCAAATGTTTTGAACAATCCTTGAATAGCCAAACAAATGTTTTGAACAGCTCTTGATTTATTGGTTCAGTGTATACACAAATCCTATTTCTTCATTTTTTTCGCTAGCAGTACATATATATATTTATGTTTTTCAAGTTCTATTATTATTATTATTATGCTTCAGAATCAATTTTGTCAATAAGATTTAAGGCCTCTTCAAACTCTCCTTGATAAAAATAAAATCTTCTCATAACATGATGCCGGCAAAACTTGCTTGTTCTATTTAAGAGAAAGAGACATGCTTTATAGTCCGTTCTTCCTGAATTTCTATAGTAGTCTTTCTTTTTTTTGATTGCATGCTAAATGTTTTAACCTTCTTAGTGATAATTTCTTTTTCTTGATGAGAGCTGCTTAACAAGAGTTTCTTGGAATGCAGAGTGGATTACAGAATACCATCAAAATAGACCAGGGTTAAACATATTGCAACAAAGGATTGATGATTTTATAATTGCTTACGACGAACAAGAGGAGCAGGTATTTTTCCTCTCTCGGGCCTCTCTGTTATGCCTCCACCTGTTATTTTGGTGGAGGCCTATGGTGTTTCGTTGAGCCGCTTTTACATGTGATGAAATTGTGATACATATAATCAATCCTATTTGTTTCGTTCATTACTAAAATGAATAAAATCCTATCAAATATATATATTTTTCCTTTGAATTATTCATATGTATATACCCTATAAATATAGGTTTTTATATGTACATAAATCAATGTTCTTTGGAGTTCCTGGTTGAGTCTTTGGCTTGTGTACATTGGTAGCATCCCTTGGCTCTTTTAACACAATTGTTTTACCTATAAAAAAAACATAAATAAGTATTAAAATTTTAATGTATGCCAATCATCTCTGAGTAGAGTGTTTTGAGCATATGTTAATGTCAGCATGTATAATGGTGGAAACACATCTTATGTGTTACTGAATTTTGAGTGAAATACTGATATATGCATAAACTGATTTATCACATATAAGCACGTGCTCAACGATTATGGAAATCTGTTTGTCCTATTTCCATCTGTGAATTTTGCAGCTGGGACTGACTGTTATTTCATTCAATCTATTATGGCACTTGCAGGCAAGAAAAGAAAGCGAAGCCCTTGCTGCTGAAGGTGGATGGACTGTTGTGGTACATCACAAGGGTCGGAAAAAGACAACAGATACTGAAAGTGGAATTACTGTGGGTTCTGTTGCCCATGCTGCTGTTCTGGAAAATATGGCCAAGAAGAAAAGTAAAGATGTTGGGTTAGATTTCTACCGGTTCCAGAAAAGAGAGGCCCAGAGGAATGGTATGTTGATTCTCACAAACAAAATTCTATTCCCTGTTCCTTTTCTAGGAATAATTGTTAGTGCATACCTTGATAATACATTTAAATGGATAATTTTTATAAAAAAAAAATTACTTTATTATATTGATATAGTTTAACCGTGCTCTCTAACGTCTGCCTTTCACCTTAAATTTGGCCCTAAGCGTGATACATCAGCCTGCATAACTTGATATGCTATATTCTGTTTCATTCCTCTTATTTCTGTTGACACTTCAAGTCAAGGTTCTGAAAAGCGGTTGCGGTCGCCGTAACGGTGGCGGTGACGCGGTTGCGGTTGCGGGGTGTAAAGGCCGTAGTGTAACGGTTGCGGTAACCGGAACCGTGAATTTTTTTATTTTTCGCACAATTTGAAAAAAACTTACCGATATGCATATTTTTTTTCCATGATCATATTTATTGGGTTGAAAATAAATATTGATCAATTTTTTTAAAATTTTTAAGTATGATGCAATATATTTCATATTTTTAAATCACTATAAACTGAGTTTTTTACATTTTATTTTAATAATTAATGACTTTATATTATACAAAAAATCAATCACTAACTATTATATATAAGATAAACAATGATAAAAGTAAGAGAATAAATAAGAGTCTAAATATATATATATATATATATACATATTTTAACCAAGCCAAATAGATAATGACCACACTTATTATTATTATTATTTTCAAACAATATATAGATAGACACACACAAACAAAATGGTTTAGTGATAGCAGCTGAATAGAATAGCATAGGTCTTACAGTTTCAACAAACCAATAACATGTTCTTCATCTTTCCTCTTCTCTCTCTCTCTTGCTCCTCCATTCTCTCTTTTTATCTTCTCTCTTCTCTCTATCCCTCTTCCCCCATTTTCAGCTTTTTTTTGTGTGTTTTTTCGGAAGAAACAGTTTGGAAGCGTTACGTAACGGTGCGTAACAGGCCGTTACGGCTGTTACGGCACTGTTACGACCACTACGGCCGACACACCTGTGAATCTCAATCACACTACAAAAGCGGCCGTAACGGGTGGCGGTAACTGCCAAAACCGTTACGTAACGGCGTTACGTAACGGTTGCGGCCGCTTTTTAAAACCTTACTTCAAGTACATTTGAGTTCTGGACCTAATTCATATACATCATTCAATTAAAGTAATGGATTTGCCGAATGGAGGCCTACAAAAGTAACGCATTGTGAAGTCGTAAACTTACATTCTGGCATGTCCTTGCTGTAATCTGATTCTATCTTTTTCAATAGAAAATTGCTAAACATTGAAGTACCTTTTTACTTATTTATTTGTCACTCTGAAACTATCATTGTCAAGTTATTATTGGTGAGTATATAACCCAAGACAAATGCACTGTTATATATCTTTCTTCATTGTTCTTTCCAGCTTTTAATGTATCTTCTTGGCACTTGATTTGCAGAGATTATGACTCTTCAAAGCAAATTCGAGCAGGATAAAAAGCGGATACAGCAATTGAGGGCTAAAAGAAAGTTCCGGCCCTACTGAATGCTGCCGACAATCTACAAAGAAAGATCAATGGCCAAAGCATCTCACCTGTTCTTTCGATTATTAGAATTTTATGTTTGAGGATGGTTCATTACCTTAACAATTAAAAACCTTGCTTTCTTTCCCTTCCTTTTTTTGCTTGTAGGAGTGATGAGAAAAACCAATTGCACAATGATTTAATGTGATACATGTACCGTTTTGAGATCAATTACAAAGATGCTTAAGTTTTTGAATTATTTATACCCGCTCGGTGGTACGACAGTGCTCAGTGATTTACAATGAAGGTACCAAATGCGACAAGTTAGACAGGGATTTGTGGTAGTGATATACAATGATTACGCATGTGGATTCATGAAGCATGATTGATCTGTATTTTTGAACTGAATGGTCCAGCCCATAAAGTGCTTTCTTTTTAATGGATGAGAGCCATAGTGCTGCTGCATTTTGAAATCAGTGCGTTGCATTTGGGCAGTATATAGTAGAAATGCGTACCCAAAAAGGGCTACAGTTTTAATGGCTATTAAAAGCAGTGGTGTGTAGCAACCTGCATTCATGTTTCAACTATCTTCCTGTTATATTCATGTTTCTTTCTTCTGGTTGGAAGTAGAACTCTCATTCTCATACAGCCTCTCCAATTCTTCACAAGTTTTTCATGAGATTCAATTCATTCGTCAAACTTGTACCTGTTTCTCAGGAAAAAAAGAAGGGGGGCAAATTTCACTTTATCCTCTTGTGATTTGGGCCGGGTACAGATTACTCCTCTCATATTCAGAAATTATTACATAACTCCCATGTGGTTTGTGGATTAAAACCCAGTTAGCTTTTCCGTTCAAGATAACACATTGTGAGAGTCACGCGCTTGCAAGGAGAGCAACATTATTTTTAAGACCAAATGCCTCTGGCACATATTCAAATTTATAAAGAATGCCATTCAATTATTTCTCTCTCTACTCCTTTAATCCCAGCCATAAGTAGCCTTTCATTTTTTTTTTCTCCCCCTTTTCTCCTTTTCTTTTCTTTTCTTTTTTCCAGCTCATTAACGTCCACTACTTGTAGCTTCCCCCATGATCAAACTAAAACAAAAATTTTCTGTGAAAGCCACTAAATACCTGGTAGCTCCATGGATTCCAGCAAAAATTTTCTAGTTTGACAAATGTTTAAACACCGTGGCTTGTTCTTTTGTAGCTTACTGCATATCCAATCCCTTTCATTCATCTTCCTTCAGTAAAATCCATCCAGTGTCTCCTTTGCTTTCATATCCTTACCCTGCTTCATTGATAACCATTTTACCTCTTCTCTAATACTACATGGATGATTGCTAATGCCATAGTCAAAACCATTGAGGTTGCAGATGAGAGGCAATTAGAAATGTTACAAGAAAATTTGGGGTCATTTAGCCTTAAAATTTTGGGATTTCAGGAAAGAAGTATTGTGGAAATCTTAGCTACAGATTTTAGGAATATATATAGATACATATATATAGCTACAGATTATGTATATATATGTTAGAGTTGGTAGCATGGAAGAACGAAGACAGAAAATAGGTGTGTGTATATACATTTGCCGGTTTAATTTAAAAGAGATAAGAGGAAGAAGATGGGGAAATAAAGGTAAATTTATATGTTTTGTTAACAGAAACTAACTGTGCGTTTTAGTTTACAAACCACATGGGGGTTATGTGGTAATTTCCAAATGTCATGAGGTAATCTACACCTAACCCAAACCACAGGGGTAAAGTGAAATTTGCCCTCCAAAAAAATCAAACTTATATCAAATCGAGTTTTTATCAAATGATTTTTTTTTATGCATTTAAATGTTAAAAAATAAAAGACTAGAGGTCAAATTATTTACATCAGAATTTTGGGATATGTTATTTTCAAAAAAAAAAATTAACACAAATTTTAATTCTCACCATTAGAATGAATTATATATTTTGGTAAAAAAATAAAAATAAAAATTGAAAGGCAGAAGATGCTCTGACTTATGTTTTAGGGCATTGTCATTGTCATGAACTAGTGGACCCTTCCTAATAATAGAAGGGAAAATATCACATCAGTGGGTGTTGCAAAAGTAATTACAAATTAATGAAATTTTTTATAAATATTAATAATTAAATTTATAATTTTTTTTATGAATTTATATATATATATATTTTTCTGACATTGTAATAACCCCACAATAGAATGTTGGCAAATCATTGTTGAATAGGTTTTGCATCGTACTACTTCATATCTGGAATGACTTGATTATGTAGGTTACTAACCGCCTGACATTGTAATAACCCCATAATATGTTGGCAAATCATTGTTGAATAGGTTTTGCATCGTACTACTTCATATCTGGTATGACTTGATTATGTAGGTTACTAACTGCCGTGATTTAATTTCAAATGTTACTTATAATGAGATCATTATGACTATTGACAATGTTGTTTTGATCACCAATGTGGAATAAAGAGCGCTTCCAAAAAATATACTAGTAACAACATAAAATACAAGACTTGATTAAAAAATATTATATATCATGCATTAAAGAAAACAAATTAATAGTTTGGAAACTACCAATTACAGATATAGGATCGCACCAGATAATAAAAAGTTCTAATTGCTTGGCTAACGTCATAATAGGTTACGCTAGATAAGACTTGTTCAGCTCTGGTATAGTGGTCCGGCATCTATTCTCCAAAAATTGTCCGGGAAAGCATAAATGGCCCGGACGCGTGTCCATATACTGAAGTTGTTTGGTGTATTCTTTGAAGAGTTGTTCAGCCAGCCTGAACTCATCCATTTGCATTTCTTGAAAGGTTTCCCCCGTTTTCTCATCCATTTTGGCTTTCTAGCTATTTCTTTTGAAAAGAGAATCAATGGTTTTTTGGAAAACATACTACTAAGAACGGCCAAAATAAATAACAAAGTGCCAATTGCTTTAAAAATATTTTGAAAATAGGTTTAAGAGTCCAGAAAATCTTTTGGCCAAAACCGATGCATAGAAGGTTTGTCAATCTTTTCATTCCTGACTTATTACTTAGAATGATCTCTGATTTCTTTATCAAAAACTTTTCAAAAAATGTACAAATCTTAAGGTCTGTCAAAAATAAAATGTCTACACTTTATTATTTGGAATTATTGATTTTTGTCAAAAATGAAGTGTCTACACTTTTATTATTTGAAGTTGTTGACTTTTGGTTGCAAAGGTTGAATGAAAGAGTAATAAATAAAATTAAAATAAATGCCAACAAATTTCTCATAAAAAGGCTTGTTGGTCCTCATGTTCGTCCTAACCACTCACTTGTCCCTCATGATTTATTAATTTGAGATCTCATTCTTTTCTTTTCTTCTTTTGCTTTTTCTTTTTATTGTCTTTTCGTTTTTAAGGAAGAAGTTCATTGTTAAAAATTTTGAGTCATTATATCCAACTTCCAAGTTTAAATCTTTTGAAGTTAAAAAGATATTATCTATCGAAAAGAATTTATCTTTGTTCGAAAGGGATACTAATCTGTTCAAAATTTATTTATTTATCTATTCAAATGTTACTTATTTGTTTAATTATATATTCAAATCTTACATATCTATACACGTGTCATCTATCTGTTTAATGTTACCTATTTGTCCATCTCACCGCCACTAACCACTATTGACCGCCAACAACTTTTCCGACGTCGGCAACTTTTTTGGTGACTTTTCAATACATCTCCCTAATATAAAAAAAGATCAAACCTTGGATCAAATAGCATATGACCTCATAGGATTTTCATCAATTAACTTTTTTTCTAATGGGTGATTTATAAAGCAAATATTAGGTATAATAGTGAGATTATACAACGGTTTTACCCATCAATAAAAATCTTACATTGCAGTATGAAAAACTACATGGTAAAATTTTGTTAGAAACAAAAATATTCCACTGATCCTCATTTGCAGTGGCACAATTTTACTGTTGTACTTAATATTTATTTGTATTATTGGTAGAAGAGTTAGATTTAATGATCTTTTTAGGTTGGCTTGTGTTTTTTGAAGACGATATTTCTTTTTAGATGGGAGCTCCTCTAGGTTGGTTATAATGTAAGTATATATTTTATGAAAATCAAATCTGGTAACGAATGGTTGTACCACCACTTGCATATGGATTTTTCTTTCGCACAAATATATATATAGAATAATATAATTATTGGATATTATACTTGAAAATCATCTTTAATACCCAAAAATCAATTTAACTGTTAGATTTGAACTTTAAAAAACAAAAGAGTCAAATGATAAGTATTAAAATTGGTTAAAAAAACAAAGTGATTTTTTTAAAAAAATGAAGTAATTTCTTTTTATTTACCACTGAAACTGGCTTTATTTATCACAGAAATTAACCCTAGTTAGTTACCACTTAAACATATTGTTTACCATCCAATGTGACCGTGTACGTACTAATGGTGTTGTCCCTACTTATCACATAATGTGACAAGAATTGTGTCACATAAATAAATAAATAAATTTAATATAAAAATGAAGTGATAAATTTTGATTTTGTTATTTTATAATAAACAAATCGTCACGTTGCCTCATATTTTTAACAATGCTACTATGACCTTATCCTTGTTATACATAAACGTTTCATTTTTTATTTTATTTTTTTAAACTTGCTTTGGTCATGGGGATAGGTGGACTAGAAGGGAAACAGATGCAAAACTTGTGAAACAGGATTTTTTTTTTTTTTTTTTTTTTTTTCTTGATAGGGATAAAACAGTTGGTCATGTAAAATTATAGGATACATTTATCAACTAAGTAAAAGTAATCTTATTTATAATAGCAAGTATCTCGTGAACCATTTGTGAGATATCTACTGAGAAGTCAATTGTTGTCTAAATTATAAATAAGATTACACAATCGTCACTATTTTCTTATTTCTCTTGCAAACAATTATATGATGATGGCAAGGAGCTTCATACCCTTGAATTTTGTATGGGAGCATTGATATATCTCTCTAATTTTGAAATTTTAATTGAGCTCTAATAATATGACAATGATAGATTCATCTAATTTTATAATTTTAATTAAGTTTTAATGATGTGACAGTGAATTAAAAAAAATAAAAAACAAAAAATACAAAGTCAAAACATCACATCACAGTAAGATTCACTCCTATTAGAGCTCCTTTATTAAAGTTATCAATTATTTTTGTTTTGTATTGTTCCTAGTTTTTAATATAGTTCCTTTC